CACAGTGGGCTCCTTTCCCACACTGCTGCCAGCGCTGAGTGCAGGCACTACCCGCTGCACCTGGGGCCAACGGCAGCTTTTATTGGGCTCAGGAGGACAAGTGCCACCAAGCACCATGGCAGCGTGGCTCCCAGTATCCTTGGGAGGTGGCACCTTTCGAGGCTCAGCTACCAGCACCCTGTGGCACCCAGTGGTCACCACCTCAGGGACCATAGCAGCAGCCCCCTGCCCAGGGCTGGGGTCCACCCCTGGGGTGGGTAAGTGGATGGAGGGATGGAGGGACAGATGGATGGGTGGGTGGAGGGAGGGAAGGACACATGGGTGGATGGACGGACGGATGGATGGACCACCTCACCCCCAGCCCCACTGACAGGGCTGAGCAAGATCAGGGCCAGTGTCCATCCACACAGACACAGTCCCCGCTCTACCATGTTGTGGGGATGGGGCAGAACAGCGCGTAGGAGGTAGGACAGTGCCAGGCCCCCACCAAGGGCAGCTGGGCCCCACATGCGATGGCTGGTGCTGGCAGGACCCTGTCACATGCCAGGGAGCGCCTGGGTACTGTGAAGAGCTAAACATTAATGGTGTTATCAGCAAGACCTTGACGGGGTGAACACTCCGCTCCACCTTGCAGTCCCCACCTACCAGAGCACAGGGGAAACTGAAGGCACAGGGTGGCTGGTGGCATCCCAGGGACAGACTGTGGTCTTCAGCAAGGCCACCCTGCCTGTGGCAATTCCACAAGGGGTGAAGAAGGACATGGTGACAGGGTCCCCACTAGAGGGATGTGTCTTGGGGGAGGGTTCCAGTCCCAGCCTGGGTTTCAGGCAGGGGATGGGGTCCATACAATGCAGCTCCCACCCCCAGTGCCCTCACCCAGAGCCAAAGTAAGGCTCATGGGTGCTTTGCCCCTCCAGACTGGCCTTGAAGACACCTGTGGGTGCCACTGAGCACTGCCCCATCGGGAGGGGGCATGGCCTGGCAATGTCAGGGCACCAAGGGGGCTGGTGAGGGCAAATCCAGTCTCAGCATACAGTTGTCTGTCTGTCTGTCCCTCCCCACATTTGCACATGGTTGTGCTGACACGGGCCTTCCCACAGGCGCATGCGTCATGTGTCCATGTGCATGTGTGCGTGTGCCTGTTTCCATGCCCCCTGTGCCCACGCGTATCTCTGCCCGTGCCCAGGGTGTGCCCCCATGCCAGGGTCTTGCACCTCCAAATACCCACCTTTACATGCCCACGTCTCCACACGTGTCTGTCCCCACATGCCCATGCCTGGGGGCCAGCACAGCTCTGCCTAGGGATGCTGTTGTCCCCAGGCGAAGGTCGGGGTGTCCCAGCCCTGCCACCTTCCCACGCCCATTCCTGGCTAAGGGGTGAGCAAGTGGGGCTGGGGCAGACTGCTTTATTGGGGGGGCAGTGATAGCAGCCCTGAGAAAAGGGGGGGCGGGGGGGGCTGTGCCGTGGATGGTGAAGCTGCTTGTCAGTGCCGGGCAGCGTCACCCCTGTGCCTGAGTCTGGGACCATGCTGTGACCCAATGGCAGGGCATGGCTGTGGGGTCCCCATGGTGATGGGGGGGGTGTGTCCCCGGCCCTAGAAAAACCTCTTCTTGTGGGAGTCGGCGAAGGAGATGGAGCTGTGCGGGGGGGTGGTGAGCAGCCCCAGTGGGACATCCATGCCGGGCAGGGCACCAGCACCTTCGCCCTCCAGCTTCCCCTCTGCCAGCACTCCATCCTCCTCCAGCCACTCCACCTCCAGCGCGGTCCCCTCGGCCATGACCGCCTTCTCCTCCTCCGGCTTGGGCCCGAATGCCCAGTCTGCGGGGACAGAGACGGAGCCATCACTGACACATCCCCGCCATAGCAAAGGCTCTGGGTTTGGGGGGACCCTTCTAGCTCCCCACCCAGCACCATAAGGATCCCCAAAGCTCCACCCCACTCTGGGCAACACTCACCAGCGAAATCGTGCACCAGGTCCTTGATGAGGTGTCCCACGATGGCATATGCCACCACCAGCACCAGGGTGGCTGCCATCACCAGGTAAAGCACATTGCGGGGCAGGCGGATGCTGTCCAGGGCGGGGGGCTTGTAATCCACATACAGCACCCCATCCTCCTCGGGGGGAGACTGCAACAAGTGCCGTGGCCCCCATGCCCCCCCAGTGCTGGGGTGTGGGGTGCCCCCCACCAGGGCCATTGCCAGTTCCCCCTGCATCCCAGGCGCAAGCCACCAAAGCCGTGCAGGAGGACCCAGGGGAGAAGTGGCATCAGGTCTGAGGCTCCGCAGTGCCAGCAGCTCATGGGGATGGTGGCTCATGGGGATGGGGGGGCCCCCATGCCCAGTGGCAGTGCCACTCCCCCGCTGCTGCCAAAGGACAGAGCATCCACAGGCAGCTTACTGGCTGCTAATCCAGGCACAGCGCTGGAGGGCTCAGCTTGGGGGGCGACCAGCAGGCTCTGGCATGGCTCACGGTCCCCCAAATCTGCTCTGGCAGCACTGCAGGTACCTCCATCCTCCTGGGAGTGGGGAACACCCACAGCTGGAGAACCCCTGAAGGCAGGGATGAGGAGGGTCACCCTGAGGCCTGTCTCCCCTCCCCCCGGCCCCCCCGCAGCTTGAGCTTGGTTAAATCCTTCAGCAGGCTCCGGATCCCCCGAGCAGATGGTGTGAAAGCCCGGCAGGAGCACCGTGTCCCGGAGGACAAGACGCCCTCTGAGCTGGGAGGTGATGGGGGGGTGCTGCAGCCCTGTGCCGGAAGGGCTGTTGCCCCCCAGGGCTTCGCGCCAGCCGTCACATACAGCACCCTTGTGCCCACTGCTGCTCCTGTGGTAAGGAGCAGCCTGCAGACAGCTGCAGCGGCCAGGCACCCCTGAAAATGATGCCCTCTGCGCCAGGAGGGTGCAGGGCTTGGCTCAGACCACAGCAGCCTTGAGAGAAACCCCAAACCCTTCCCCGGGTGGGTTGGCCAGGGAGGGATGAAGGTGCCTGCGAGGTCCCATGCCAAGGCAAGGCTCAGTGCCCAGGCACACGCCCCAGCTCTGCAGCACCCAGGTAGCCCCTGGCCAGATCCTGGCCACAAAAATGCCAGTTTTGTTCCAACTTGGGCTTAAAAGGCACTTAGGGGAGCAGAGGCAAACACTGGCATAGAGAAATTTGGAAACAACCCTGCATGGTCCCATGGAATCACTAGAAAACAGCAGAGAGCAAGGGTTGGAGCAGCCTGGGTGGTGAGTGAGGAGAAACACGCTGGCAGTGCGCCAAAGCCCACGTGCCCATAAGGTCCTGGTGCAGAGCTGGCACATGCCCTGCACCCGTATCATGACAAAGGCACATCCCACGGCTCTCCCCATTGCCTGTGGGGAACAGTGACGGGCGCAGGCACCCCAGAGCTTGGCGCTCAGGGCTGTGTCGTGCCTGTCACCCAGGGGCTACAGAGGGTGCAGGAAGGGGGGCAAGAAGCCCCGTAACAGCTGCCGACTCCGAAACAGCACAAGAACATCAGGTTTTTGTCTCCAGTGACGAGAAATAGAGTTCAGTGGCCCTCAAACACCAGCAACTCCATCCACTCACCTTGAGCACACAGCTCTGACTTCAAGTAAGCGTATACAGGTGATCAAAATAGGTGATATCCCCAGTAAAACCCCCTTCCATGGGGTCCTGGACTGGGCCAGACTGGGCTGTGGCTGAGGTTCCCCACCATAGCTGTTTCCCCACACACCAGAGCCCTGAGGACCCTAGGCCAGACACAGCAGTGGTTTTATTAGGGACTAAGAGGACTAAGCCCAGGAGCAACTCACAGGGAGACTTGGGTCATGGGGAAAAGCCCCATCAGCAGGATGCCAGTCCACACAGTGCAGCTGGACCACACTGGCCCCTTGCTGGGCCACAATGTGGGGGCTCCTGGGGCCTCCCCTGCAGACCTGCCAGGGTGATGGGAGGGGAGTTGTACCCCATGCCATCAGGAACTCCAACCTATGCTTTCTCTTCCCCTAAAAGTTGGCTCAATGTTAAAAGGTCTTTTCCAACGTAAATGATTCTGTTGTACAATTGGATTATGGCAACCACAGTTCTCGCTGCCAGGGCCTGACCCTGCAGTGCTGGGTGCACTCTGCACCATGGCAAAGGCTAAATCACAGCTCGACTCACACAGGAGCTCCCACCACCAGCGCTTTATTTCCTGCCAGCCCCCCCAAGTGCCCACACTAGGCTACGCGGGGGGGTTGGGTGCTGGGTGATGACAGCAGACACCAGCCTCAGCCCTCCCAGGTCTGGTTAATCACAGAGGAAAGTCCAGGCAGGCTCTGCCTCACGCTGTAAGCCCTAATGGCAGCGCCATTCCCTGCAGAAAGAAAAAGCACAGCCAAATCTTCCAAACTTTGCCATGGAACAACCCTCATCCCAGGGCAAAGGCTGCCACAAGCACAGCCCTGGCCTGCCCCAACAGGAGAGGCCAAACCCACAGCAGCTCCTCCACTGCAGGTAAGGAGGGACCTGGCTCAGCACCTGCACCAAGGGCGATTTCGAGGCATCACACCACTACAAACTATGAGAGCGAGTGCCCAAAGCCAGCCCTGGCCCCCCAAGCAAAGCTCAGACGTGGAACATGGAGCCATTTTGCACTGAGCCGCCATGGCAGCACAAGCCCAAAGCAGCCCTGGGCCCCACGCAGCCACAACAGGCTCTGACGTGCAGAGCCGAGCCCACCTGGTCCAAGCCCTGAGCCAGGCTGCAGGCAGGCAGTGCTGATCCTGGCAGGGAAAAAGAGGCAGATCCAGGAAAAGCCTGGGGAGGAGGGGAGGAAGGAGGGGAGGGCAGCAAGTAGCAGCTCAGCCTGGATTTGGAGGGAGAAGGCAGCTGTAATTGTGCCAGAGAGCAAATCCAGTTCCTCCTCCCCCTCTGTTGCAGCAAGGCACAGATCCACGCCGATGGAGGCGGACATCAAAGTGCAGCCAAGGTTGGGAGACAGCAAGCCCTGCCTGTGCCCCTCCCAAGCTGGGGCTCAGGTGGAGGCCTGCAGCTTAGAGAGCCCATCAGCATATTGGAACTGGGCGCTGTTCTCGTACTCGTACATGTCCAGCGCCACCTCACAGCTCTCCCGCACCACCCGCTCCTCGTCATGGATGAAGGCGCGCAGGGTCTCCAGGCAGGAGGGACGGGCGATGGAGCCCAGGGCCTCGGCGCACTCGTGCCGCACCATGGGGCTCTCGGTGCGGCTGCACAGTGCAGCTGTCAGCTGCGGGACACAGGCCTCATCTTGCATCTGGCCCAGCACATAGCCAATCTCATGGCGGAAGAGTGCGCTGCTGGAGTGGAGTCCTGCAGAGACAAAGCGAGAGTGAGCTGCCACTAACCCTGAAGTGGGATGCTTGGCTGAAGCCCTCCACTCAAAAGCCAGGGGAAGCCATGGGGCGGGCTGGTCTGGAGGTCTGAGCCATTGGTTGCCAACACAGACCCGTGGGGGCTTTTGGGGAAGGGGAGAAAATACCTACGAGGTCTGTCTCAGCCCGCTCCCTGACCCCGCACCACCAGGCAGCCCCAGCACCACACACCTGTGGCTGTGCCCCGGAGAACGCCCTCCCAGCAGAGCTGCCAGCACCCTCGCCTGCCCTGCAGAGCCTGCACTGCCACTGGCCCTGCCCTACCAGCACGATCTGCCTGGGGCAGGCTGGCAGCACAGCCACGGCCTGAAGCCCTCCCATTCTGTGTGACTGAACCGCAGCAGCTCACGGGTCCCTGCACGCCTCATCTCACGGTGCAGACATGCCCTCAGCTCATCCCGGATGGCTGAAAAGCCTCATCCACTTGGGCTGGGGCCTGGGTCCAAAAGGTTCTTGGGCTGTGATCTGTCCCTTCCCCACTCAGGAGACATTTACTCCCCTCTCCAAAGCTATTCCCAAACCCCAGGACAAGATCAGCAGCCTCTGACTTTCTAGGACAGGAGAGCAGGACCTCAGGTCAGATTGGCTGGTCCCAAACCAACATTACAGAGAGGACTGTGCCCTCTCCCACCCAGACCCCTGCAGAAAGGGGGCATGGAGGATGGTGAGGGGGCTGTGAAACACCAGACAGCACCGAGCGCTTTGCGATGTGGCTCTTGCAAGCAAGCAGTGGGACACCAGCTCCAGAAACAAACGCACAAAGAGCCTAAGAGAAGCCCTGCAGCTCTGGCAGCCCTGGATTTGGGAAGGGCTAATCCCAGATTAACCTGCACAGATTTACAGTGAGGAGACTGCAGGCAGCCTTGCACTGGCCCTTACCGTCTGTCAGCGCCAGCACAGCAGCCTGGCCCCCCAAATTTCGCAGGGCAAACATGGCCCTGTAGCGGTCGAACAATGTGCACGACTCATCCAGGAGGGTTTCACGGAGTTTGGTGATGTCTGTCTCCTCGGCAGGAGGAGCGGGGTCCACAGAAAGGTAGGGGCTGGTGCCCAGCTCCTGCTTGTTCTCCTGCAGCCACTCCAGCCTCCTCACTGCTAGCTGACATGTCTCTGCCACCTGTGGGGACAGGAACACAGCCCTGGCTGCAGGACAGCACCGTACAGTGCTAGGGGGTCATGCAGGGCTTTCTGACAGCAGCTGAGCACCAGCACACTCATGGTGCCCCTGTCCATGGCCATGGGCTGCCCAGGAGTAACCTGCCTCACCCTCCTGGACCAGCAGTGCTGCACCCCAGGGAAACTAGCCTCACCTCAACCACAGGATCCTCTGAATAGCGTTTCAGGATATCCAGCACATCAGGATTCCCGAGAGCACCCAGGGCTTCACCTGAAGGAAGGACATGTCAGGATGTTATCAAGGTGTATACATGAAGAGGACCCTACTCTGTCCTCCGGTAGAGCTTCGCCTCGCTCCGAAATGGGGACACAGGCCTGACTCTGACCAATCCTAAATGAGATGGCCAGGCAAATAAGCATGGCAGGAGCCAGACTTGCCAGCAGGAAGGGGAAGGCTCAGCCAGGGTTGGTCAGGGGATGTGGTGAGGCGGTTACATCGCTCAGGGGTTTCCAAACCACGACACCCAAGCTGAATCAGACCTTCACAAGCTGTGTGGTACAGGGGGAAGCACCCACAAGTCCCACTTGCAGGCTGCAGCCTTCCCCTGCACCCACAGCTGCAGGAGCTGCCATCATACCTGCCTCATGCCTGACCATGGGCTCCTGGGTGGTGTCCTCCAGCACGCGGATGAGCACAGGGATGGCTGCTTCATCCTGCATCTGGCCCAGGCAGTAAGCCAGCTCGTGCTTCAGCAGTGCAGAGCCATCTCCAAAGGCCTGGCTGATCCAGTGCACGGCTGCGCAGCCGCCCAGGTTGCGCAGGGTGAAGAGGGCCCGGAACCGGGCGGGCAGCGGCTGGGTCGAG